ATGCAAAACTACAGTGAGGGAAGGGGGGACTGGCAGAGTAGGGACCCACCTTGAGTTAATCTCTGCTTGATGCCTGCATTTACAGCCTGCCTGACCTACAATGTGGTCCTGGCGGATGTCCCTGTGGCCCTGGGCTGTTGCCTTAGGGCTGGGGATGAGCCCTGTCCCTGGGGCAGCTGCAGCAACCTGTTCCCACGGGGGAAAACAGGAGGGGGATAAATCTCATAGGACGTTGGGATCCGGATCCCTTGATCCAACACGGTCCTTAGGCGCAGGGCTGGACTCACAAGCCGCTTGGTTGCCCCTGACCGGGCGACAGCCGGTTTCATGTTCACAGAGGGTTTCGTGTTGTTCTCCGTCTTCCAGGAGCGACTGGCCCGGAATGATGAAATAGTAATGAGCCTCCCTCTCTCTTTCTCGCCCTCTCCCTCTCTCCCCCTGGCCCCGGGCCCTCTAAGGTTACCTCAGCCCTTCACCCACGATCTGCTCAGAGCCATCTCCTCTGAGCGAATCCCAGGGCGGGTGAGACGCTGGAGGGAAGGCGGCGCGGACAGCCACAGCTCCCCCGGAGCCTCCCCCCCTGCTGCTCATAAGCCCCGCAGGTAATGGGGCTGGGGAGAATGCTAGGACACCTACAAGCTCTGACAGATAGAGGCAGGGGCTGGGGCTACAGCCTTCTCTGCAAACATCACCCCCCCTCTTGGCTCCGCTGCCTCTCTTTGGGCTATCCGGGTGGTGAAGGAGAGCGGCCGCCAGCAGCATCAAGGCGGACGTGAGGGGGGGTGGTTTCCCTGAGCCCTCATCCCTGCGCGCTGTCTCTGGGATGCCTGCAGCACTCAACATCAAATAGGAGGATGCTGGGCCTATCTGGCCTCCTGAAGTAGAAGAAAAATCTCAGCAGCGAGCCAGGAGAGGCATCAAGAGCCCCAGAGGCCAATCTGCTCTCGGAGGAGGCTGGAGCAGCAGGCGTTTCCGAAGGGCAGCCTTCTTCCTCATCCTTGGCACGCTGACAGCACCATTGCATCCCCTTCTTCCTCGCAGGACCATGCCGTGGAGGTCTCAGGGTGTGATGCCGGCAGCGACGCAGACCCAGGTGGGCCCTGGGATGCCCTCCACATTTTAGCCCCCCAGTGCGAGGTATACGTGTGCGTGGGCCCGGCGGAGGAGACGGAGCGGTGAGTACCAGCCGGGAGCCCCCTCAGTGGGAAGAGTGGAGGAGGGGGAGTGGAAAGCCAAGCAGGGAGAAATCAGATGCCTTCTCCCTGATGATCTGCACACCGGTGTCTGGGAAAAAGGGCTGAGCAACCCCCACGCCGTGCCCCCTAACTGGGTTCCTCGTGGCCGTCGCAGGAGAGGCCAGGGGGCCACCAAAAGAGTCTCTTTCCTCCTTACTGCCTCTACAGTGGGGCTGGTGGTCCCAGGATGGGCTCTGTCAGCCTCTGCCCATCCAGTAGAGAGAGAGCCGGTGTGGCTTGGGCTGCTGGTGCTGCCACCCACCCTTGAACTCTGCGGGCTGTGCTGACCACCAGCTGTCCTCTCTCCCTGCCCCACAGCTGGCACGAGAGCAGGGGATATCCCCTGCTCAGCCCCGGAGCTGAGGGTGAGCACAGAGAAACGGGCACCGACCCCAGCGCCTGTGCCGAAGCCAACTCTGCACTTGCCAGGGTGAGATGGGGATCTCTTGTGGTTTGGGTTATTTTGGTCTCCCCAGCCCTCTCAGCCCTTCAGTGCCGCTTCTGCTGGGTGCATTCAGAAGGTCCTGAGATGCAAAGGGGGATCAGCTGAGACTGTTAGTCCCCACAAAAGGAGGCTCTCCCCCTAAAGAGCAAGAGATCCGCTCTTGGATCTTCTATGTGGACTTGCCTATGTTGTTTCTTGCCATGCCCGTTGATGTTGGGCTGGGGTCATCTTATGCTCACCCAGCTCCTCTCCTGGTTCCTTTTTACCAGCAGCTTTGGGCTGAACGGGCTATAACTTCTCATATATCCTCTTACCTCCTTCCAGCCCACAAAAGCTACTGGTCCCCATTGCAGAGATCTGCCCTATCTTGTCTCCCAGGACGGGGAAATGACCCAGCTGTGGGACAACACTTTGGGATCAGGCAAACGGGACATGATGAGCTACGCGGGCCACAAGGAGGAGGTGTGGCTGCGAGCCCCGCAGGCAGACAGACCCAGGTGGGCTCAGCCTGTTCCCTCTGGATCCTGGGTGAGAACTGAGGGCCAGGGCTTTAGGAAAGAAATCTGCCCACTGAAAGCAGGTACACTCGATTTGCTCCTGTGTGAGATCCTATTTCTGGTTTGCTTTCTACCCGGGGGTCTCTGAAGTTCACAGCAGATCTCTATTTAGATTTAGCATCTCTTTACCCAGTTCTGGTCCCAGGAGGCATTCAACAACCTCTGCAGGCACTATGCAAATGCCCAGAGTCTGTGAGATGGCATCTCTGTGTGTGCTGACTATGAACCGTGGGTCTCGGGGGTGTTCTCTGTCTGCATGGTTTGGCATGCCCTTGGCTCACAGCGCTGTGTCCCAGCGCTCCCACCCTGCCTGGAGGGAGTCTGGGTTTTATCTCTGCCCTCCTGGACCGTTTCTAGCTCTCCTCCGAAGACCTGCTTTGCCGTGGACGTGGTGGCATCCCGCATTGCTCGTGCCTCCCCCAGTAACGGCCTTCTCCCCGTCCCAGAGCGCCGTCCCACCAGCCAGAAGCCCGAGGAGAGCTGGCCGAAGCACCGTATAGAGAGCGGCTATTTCTCCCTGGAGCACCGGAAAAACGACCCTCCCTGGGCATCCACCCCACCGCGTGTCCCCAGCAGCTCCTCGCTGGCCCGCAGTGACCGCGTGGGCAGCGGCGGGCGCCTCACTAGCTCCCAGGTTCGGGAGCCCCGTGGGCACCCCAGTAGTGTGGGCACGGAGGGGCGGCACGGGCTGGAGAGGCAGGAGTACACGGTGCTGGCAGACCTGCCCAAGCCCAAGCGCCTCGGCCAGCGGGATGCTGTTGACCGCTGCGGGTCCCGCACGCTCAGCCCCGGCCGGGTGGAGGTGGAGAAGATATTTGGCTGCGAGCGCAGGTGAGAAGCAAAGGGTCTCCGCAGTGGTCAGACGAGGGAAGATCGACCCCCTGTGCTGTTGGGGGGGGCCCTTCACCTCCAGAATCACCACACCATCTAGCCCTGATGGCAAAGCTCAGCTTTCAGCTGTGCTTAAATTTCCCTTAAAAGCCAGGGTTGGGTTTGGGCTCAGTGATTCCTGGCTTGGGGAGCTCCCCCATGGTGGCATGCAAGCAGCTGAGGCCATTGGAAAGGCAGAGTGAAGCTGCATTCCTGGAAGTGGAGGGAGCAGCCCACCATCCTCATCCTTACAGTCACCTCCTGGAAGCTGCAGGATGTGCTGTGGTGCAGGGCAAGCCACAGAAAGGGGGAAGGAAAGAGGGGATCCTCACTCCCAGCCTCAGTGGCTCTCCAGGGATCCAGGGTCCACTGTAGAAGCTGCTCAGGAAAGGACAGGGGATACAAAGAAGTACCCATCGCTGGGTCTTGGCTGGAGAAGCAAGAGTAGCACCAGTGTTGGAGCAGCAGGGGATGTAAACGGGGACCAGGAGAATGTCCTGGGCAGGTGGGTGATATGTGAAGGACCAGATAGAGGGAAGCTTAAGAAATAATGTGAAGAAGACAGGGGTGAGACAGCAGGACACGAAAGCTGGTGTGGTTGCAGCGACGGGGAAAGGGAGAGGCTACAGCACATGCAGTGTCTGGGGCAGGCAGAGGTCTGCAAAGTCAAGCTGAGGTGGAGCAGGGTCTGCAGGGGCTCTGCTGCCAAGCTGAGCCTGGTGGCAGCAAGACAAACTATGTGTGTCTACAGGAAATCGGAGACCCTGGAGGCCTTCCAGGCCCTGGAGGAGGGCCGCGTGGAGAGGCTCGATGGCAAGACCCCAGTGCCACCCAGCAAAGGCCGTGTAGTTCGGAGGCAGTCCAGCCCCAGCCTGCCCAAGGAGGTGAGGCTTGGCTGTGCGGTGGGACCCCATCCCAGCTCCCCAAGCTGGGTTGCTTTTCCCTGCCGCATTCTCCTCTATTTCTGCCACGTGCTTCTCCCTTCCATTTCCCTGCTCCCCCTTCCCTCTATTCCTAGCCCTCCCTCGCTGTGGACTGGGACTCTTGGCTCTTAAATGGCAGCAGCCTTTTCACCCTGTGGGTGCAAGACCTTCTCTTCAGCACAGGCTGGCTCTGTGCACAGGGGGGAATTGCTGTCTGGGGAACTACTCAACCAAACCATCTCCCAGCCCTAATCCTACCTTCTTCTCGCTCACCTGCACTTATTTTATTTTTGAAGAGGACTCTTTGCTCTCCCCCATATCCCTAGGGCCAGCGGCTCACCTGGCACCTCGAGCAGCGCAGTAGAGACCCCAAGGAGACCCTGCGTTCCCCCAGCCCAGCTCGGCACCCCGAGAAGGCCAGCAGGAACCGTGGGGATCCTCCGCGCCCTACCAGTCCCAGCTGGCTGCTAGAGAGAGGCAGCCGGAGCCCACGCTCCGTAAGCCCAGCCCGCCGGTCGGAGAGGAGGGCAGGGGAGCCCGTGAGCCCTCCCTGGCGCTCAGAGAAAAGCTGGAAGAGCCAAGGGGAACCCGCCCGTCCCCCAAACTCGGAGAGGGGCCGAGCCACCTGGCAGACAGGGGTTACGGGGCAAGCCCTGGAGAAGAAGAGCCGAGGGGACTCCCTGCACCCCACAAGCCTCAGGAAGGGCTTGGATAACAGCGGACTGAGCCGAGCAGGGGCACCGCTGCAGTCCCTCAGTCCGGGGAGGCATACGGAGGGCACACGGAGAAGCCAAAAGGAGACCTCCCCTTCCAGCCCAGTGTGGGGAGCAGAGAGGCAACGGGTGAAGCCAGGGGAGCCACCGCACCTCGGGGGGCCCAGGAAGCCATCAGAATGTGGCTGGCAGAGCCTCCGGGAAAAAATGCCACCCTCCCACCCGGGGAAAGGTGCCAGCAGTGACTGTAAAGGCAGAGGCAAACCCCTGCGCCCCATGAGCCCAACACGACCACGAGAGCAGGACTGGAGGAGCCAGGGGGATGCCCACCAAGCACAGGCGTGGGAGAAGGACTGGAAGCGCCAAGAGAAGCCCGTGTGCCATGCAGACTTGATGCGCCAGCTGGAAAGGGACTGGAAAAGCCCTGCTAGATGTTTGGATGTAGGACTACGTCCGGATGACAGCTGGAAAAGGCCTGAGAGTCCAGCACAGCAGCTGGAGGATGACTGGAAAGGCCCCAAGCACACCCAAGACACAAACAACCCAGAGAAGCCATTGGAAAGTGACTGGGGGAACAAGAGGCTTCTCATTTACCACGTGAGTACAGCAGGAGCCAGAACTGATAGGGACCTTGCCAGGTGTGAAACTGGCAAGGACAGAGTGGGTGGGTCTCCTGGGTTGCAATTCTGGTGCACCCTGGCTCCCCGGATCTTCTGCTTCTCCAGGGGAGCTACACTGCCTGCCTGGCACTGGGAGAAGGGAGGATGCTTCCACCCCTGGCCCTCACTGGGAGGCAGATGCTCAGATCTGGAAAACCAAGGTGAAGACTAAACCCTCACTCCTGCTTTCTCCTCCTGCAGCCCCAGCTAGGTGGAGGTGCCTTCCCACCGCAAAGCAGCGCTGGCTCCTCGGGAAGCTCGCAGCCACGTTCAAGTGCCAGTGAGAAGCACAACAAGGTAGGGGCCAGCCCCTGGGAATGGTGAGGAAGGGCAGCTGCTCTCACTGGTGGTCACTGCAGGCAGCACCTGGGTCTCCAGCACTTGATCTGGGCAGGCTCAGCATGGTGTTGCTGTCCTGTGGCCTCCTGGGCACCACGCTCACCAACACCCACCTTTCCTTCATCCTTTGCCCACTTCTCAGGTGGGGAAACTGAGGCACAGAGCCCTTTTTTAAAGACAGAGAGGGGTAAGCAGTAGACGTGGGTCAAAAACCTCAGCATGGCTGCTTTCTTTCCCTTTATTATTGTCTGGTGTTGTGATAGCACCAAGGGTTTTACAGGGATGAAGTGGGCTTTAGTGGCATGAAATTACCAATGAAGTGGCAATGAAATTACCTTCTCACAGGTAATTAATGACAGAACAAGAGGGAATGGCTTCAAGCTCCAACAGGGTAGGTTTAGACTGAACATTAGGAAGGAATTTTTCACAGAAAGAGTGGTCGGGCATTGGAACAGGCTGCCCAGGGAGGTGGTGGAGTCACCATCCCTGGATGTGTTTAAGGGACATTTAGATGCGGTACTGAGGGATATGGTGTAGGGGAGGACTTTGTAGAGTAGGGCAGATGGTTGGACTCGATGATCCCAAGGGTCTCTTCCAACCTGAATGATTCTATGATTCTATGAAAAAAGATATGGTCAATTGTGTTGGCATTCCTGGGATACCAAAAATGGCATGAGAGTAGCTTTGGAGGGCTGCAGAAAGTGTTTTGGGCACCCATGTAGCTGGCAGCTGTGCCCAAGTCCCTGCCTCCATCCCCTTTGGTGTGTGTCAGTTGTCAGGGCCAGGTTGTCCCCTGCTAGGGCCTGGCTTTGTGCTTCATATGAGGACAAGCTGCAGCCGGGCAGGAGGCTCCCAAAGGCCTCTGAAACTCGAAACCGGGGACACCCCTTGCCTCAGTTTCCCTGCCCCAGGCCGGAGAGGAGCCCAAAGCCCTGAGATCCCCCTACACAACTGGGAATGGTTCACCCCACCCGTCCCAGGTTTCTTCAGCGCAAGAAGCGTGGCATCAGTGTAATTGCACAGTGGAGCCTGGCACTGGGGGAGGGACTCTTTGCCAGGAGGTGTAATGATAGGACAAGGGGAAACGGTTTTAAATTGGAAGAAAAAAGATTCAGATTAGATCTCGGGAAGAAATTTTTTACTATGAGGGTGGTGAGACACTGGAACAGGTTGCCCAGGGAAGTTGTGGATGCCCCATCCCTGGAAGTGTTCAAGGCCAGGCTGGATGTGGCCTTGAGCAACCTGGTCTGGTGGGAGGTGTCCCTGCCCATGGCAGGGGGGTTGGAACTAGATGATCTTTGAGGTCCTCTTCAACCCTAACTATTCTATGATTCTATGATTTCGTGGTGACCAGCCCCCTGACCCTTTTTCCTTGGGACCCCCTCTAGCAATTCCCCTCCCCGGTCCCAGCTGGCTTTCCTGGGGTACCGGGGACCCCCCTCCAGCCCTGCTACCACCCCTGCCAAGGCTGCAAAACGCTGCTTTAGGGGTTCATCGGGGAGAGGGGAAGGGGATAAAACCGAGCGGCTTCAGGAGCGAAGGTGAGGACCCTGCTCCCTGCACACACGGAACGGGAATGCCGAAAAATCCCTGTCCGTAAAAAAAAAAAAATCCCCTGCCTGAAAGCAAGCCCTGCCCGGGGAAGGGCTGGGCTGCCGGCCGTCCCTTCCTGGGGCGAGCAGCGGCTCAGCCCGTCCCTCCCTGGGCTTCAACTTTGCCCGGGCCAGCGGGGAGGGAAGGGGGCGAGGCTCAGCCCCGCCATCGCCCCCGTCCCGTCCCGGGACCGGCCCCCCCTTTCCGTCCGCCCCGGCGGCTCCATTGGCTGCGGGCGGCCGGGGCGGCGGCAGCCGGTTGCCATTGGCCTGCCCGGGCCCTCCCAGGAAGTTTGGGGGGGAGGAAAGAAAAGTTTTTTTTGGGGTTGGGTTGGTTTTTTTTTTTTTTCCTCCTCCTCCTTTTCTTTCCTTTT